AAACAGACTAATGAGGTACAGCTGGTAGCACCCCTTAGCTCTCCATACCCACCCCGGCCTTTCTTCACAGCCTGTTCAAACTTCCCAAAGTCGAGATGACAGTGTAACCAGAGCTCACGATCTTCCATCCAGATGTACCAGTTCTAATATTCCTCATGATAAAAAGTATGTTCAAGGGCCAGCAAGTGAGTCAGGTGCTGGACTCTCACATGGCCAACTACAGTTTGAATCCCGGAGTAGGTGGCTTCAAAGTCATGCCAGCCGCATGTGTGTGCGTGCCCAAAATCTCAGGAGAATGGAGGAGAGGGGGTTGTGGGTGGCCATCCCCCCGGGGGGAATCTTTCACTTTCCTTTTGCTCTCTGTCTTTCCAGCTAGCACACGCACCTTATGGCAAAACCTTAAGAAAAAAGTATGGGGGTTAGCAGGTGGCATGATGGTTAAGGTAACAGGACTCCCACGTGGCCAACTGCAGTTCACGTCCCAGACCTTGTGGTTCTCGCTCATGAGTATATGTGCCACATAGCAAACTAAAAATAATGCTACTGATAAATAAAAGTAACTATCAATAAATCTTTCTTTTTTTTGGAGGGGAGAGGATTTTATTTTTCTATAGGGTGCTTGTGCTCACCAGAAAGACAGAGAGAGACAGAGAAACAGAAAGCAAGAAATCACCCCCCCAGCGGGGATGGCCACGCCGCAATCCCTTTTCCTCCATTCTCCTCGGGATCTTGGGCACGCACACAGATGCGCCCAGCATGAGTTTAAGCCACCGGGTCCAGGACTGGAACCATGGCTGACTCTGTCGGGGTCTAGCAACTTCATTACATTTTCTGGTCCCCACATTTAGAAAATTGACATTTTGAAAGTCTATTTGTTTCTTTTCTTTTTTCTTTTTTTTTTTTGAGAGGTTTTCACTATAGGGCGCGTGCACTCACCAGACAGAGAGAGACAGAGAGACAGAAAGCGAGCAATCACCCCCCAGGGGGGATGGCCATGCCGCAGTCCCTTCTCCTCCATTCTCCTCTCGGGATCTTGGGCACGCACGCACACGCGCCCGGTGTGAATTTAAGCCACCGGGTCCGGGACGCAAACCGTGGTCGACTACATGGGAGTCCAACAACATAGCCATTATGCTAACTGCTGGTCCTGAAAGTCTATTTGTTTATATCTTCCATGGGTGGGAGAGACAGGAAGAGACAGCAGCCCGATAGGGTCCTGACACCACCATCCACTCCCAGCCTCGGCTAGTTCCAGGTCCTGGGCACAAATCTGGAACCTGCTCCTGGGTCAGCCCCACGGAGCGTTGCATTTCACTGCGGGGCCACCGTGGAGTCCATACTGCCGCGGTGTGTCCCAGATGAGCTTTAGAGTTGTTCTTCCCTGCAGTCTGGAGTCGCATTCCAGATCACTCACTGAATCTTGTTTTCATGGTTCTTTTTCTTTTTTAAAAATTACTTTATTTAACATTTATGTATTTATTTTCGTTTGACCAGAGAGGGACAGAATGAGAGAGAAGGAGAGAAAGTGAGAAAGCAAGTCACCAGGTCCGGGACTCAAACCACTGTCGGCCACATGGGAATCCAGTACTCTTAACCACCGCGCCACCTGCCGGCCCCACCTTTCTCTTTTCTTTGTTTTATTGACAGAAGGAACTCGTATGCTTGCCTGAGAAAGACAGAAAGCATCCCTCTTTTTTTTTTTTTTTTTAACAGAGATTTCTGCTATAGGGCACGTGCACTTGCTAGAGAGACAGAGAGACAGAGAACAAGAAATCGCTCGAACGGGGGTTGGCCACACTGCAGGCGCTAGACTCCATTCTCCTTCCAGGGTCTTGGGCACGCGTGCACATGTGCGTGGTGTGAGTTTCAAGCCGCCTGGTCAGGGACTCGAATCGCAGTCGACTATGTAGGAGTCCCGTGACGTAACCATTGCTCCGTCGCTGATCCTGAGAGACACCATCTCTCAGTGGGACATGGTCACGCCAGTCTCCTCTCCATTCTCCCTCCTGTTAGGACTTCGGGTTGGCATCCGGTGTGTTCTTTGAGACTCCAGAACTGGGATCCGAACCGCAGCTGGCAGTGAGGGTTCGGTTCTCTGTGCACAAGGTCTAGCCAGGGCTCCAGGCCAGTCCTGCTTGATCTGCACATTCCCAGCCCCCACTGCTGTTGCGTTTTGCTTTGTACCGATGACACTGGCACTAAAAGTCTGGCCTGCTGTTTGGGCACGGGCGCTGGGTCCGAGCTCCGGGGAGTACCTGTGGCGGTGCCGTGGCGTGTGTCATGCGTGGCCACAGGAGCACACAGTGCTGGCCTGGCTCCTTCCTGGGGGCGCAAAGCAGATCTCGTGGGGGCCTTTTCCTCTTTCTGGGTGCCCTGAGTGTCGTGCGGGAAGTGCATCTGTCCTCTCCCCGGTGATGGCGACTCCATCACGTGAGCTGGTACCTTGCCACGGACTGGCCAGGTCCCTGTGGCACTGGAGGCTGCCCTGGCCCACGGGGCTGCAGCCGGGCTGCTCTCTTTAGGGAATCTGCTGCCCCGGGATCCAGGCCCCTCTCGCCGGCACATGACGCTGCAGGGCCACTCCTGCTGCACTTGTTAGGCGTGGGGGCGGGGAGGTGGGCAGGCGCAGGTGTCCTGCTTGGATGCGAGGCCCAGAAGGTTCCAGCAAGGGAGGTGACTTTGCCAAGGTCACACAGCGAGCTGGTGGCGGAGCCCCGGCCCCCAGGACAGTGTTCCTGCCCTGCCTCAGGGTGGCCTGGCCCTGGTCCAGGGCCCCCTCATTCTGGCAGCCCCACCCAGCCAGGCTCTCAGCCTCTGCCCTGGTACAAGGGACCTGCTTCCTGGGGGTGCCCCAAGGAGGGAGCCCCCAGTCCAGATGGGGAGGCTGCTGAGCCATCCTTGGCTGGTGGGCTCACTGCGGGGGCTGCCCAGAGGGTCTGAGCCCCACCTGGGGTGTCCGCGGAGAGGAGGGTGCAGGCTGTGCTCCTGGGGCTCGGGCGGTCACCCCAGTGCTGAGCTGCCCTCAGAGTCACAGGGTTACCAGCAGGTCCTGCACAGATGGGGACTCTGGGTCCCAGTCACAGCCGGAAAAGCAAAGGTGGTGGGTTTGGCTCCTCTCTCCCCTTCCTGGTCCTCCGGGACAGCCCACCCTGGTCACCCTGGGCATGCCCCGTCCTGAGCACCACCTCCTCCGTCCCGTCTCCCTCCAGGGAAACTGCATCGACATCTGATGGGACCTCCTGGGCGTGGTGTGGTCCGTGAGCTGGGAGGACTGGCCGAGCAGCCTAGGAGTCCCCGCTCCGCAGGGACAGGGTGCTGTCGAGGGGTGACCCCGTCCTCTCGGGCCTCACCGGAGAAGTGGGATAACAGTGCCTCTGTGTCCCAGGGCTCTTAGAGGATCCGGCGAGTGAAACGTGCCAGGGACAGGGCCTGGCACAGAATAAGTGCTCAGAAAACGGGGCCTGTTATTACTTTTATTATTATCATCAAGGCAGCGGGGAGGCGGCGGCGGCAGCTGCAGGCCGGGAAGGGAGTGTTTGCAAACTGACAGCTGGGGAGTGACTAACCGCGCAGCCTCCGCAGCAGGCAGGGCATGGGGGTGCGTGGAGCTGCCGGGCTCCTCTTCAGAGGGCCTGGAGATGGGGTTGTGCCAGCCCCAGGGGGCCCTGCCCCAATTCTGGGCTGTCACCCCTAAGTAGCAGTGTGGTCTTGGGTGAGTCATTCAACCTCCGCTTCCTCCTCTGGAAGGGGGATAAGAGCTCACAGCTCCCTTCTGGTATGCGGTCCACGGTTGGGGGGTGGGTCCTGTGAATATGGGGGCTCAGGGGCCCTGCCTGCACAGGGGCGGTGGAGGGAAGGAAGCCCTTTTGTCTGGGGAAGAGGAGGCGGGCTGCCCGAGGGGGTCCCTGTCCCCTGAAAAGGATTTCAGGGCAAGAGATACAGGCCCCGAGGAGTTGATCCTTTGGCTCAGGGATTACCTGTCAGTAGACTGGGTGTGGGCCTGGCTCTTCCCCACCCCTCCTCCTCAGCTCTCCCCACCGCCCCCTGCGGACACCCCAAGCCCCGCCACCCTCTCCATCACACCCTGTTTTTCTCCTCATGTTGGCACTGGCAGCCCCTGCCACCTGGCATGGTTTACACCAGGCCCACTGAGGCCGGCCCTCCCACCGACTGACTAGGGTGCTGCGGGCTGTGGAGGGTCCTGGAGCCCTGTGGGCAGAGCGTGTCTCCACTGGCACCCACGCAGGCCTCAGCTCCCATGCCCTCTCCTCCAAGAAGCCCGCCTTGGCTCTGGAGGCCTTGTCACTTCAGCCCAGACTTGCACTAAGAAAACTCCCCCACTGCTGGCCGTGGGGAGAGTGTTTGTGGCCGGCAGCCCTCCCCCAGCCTCCCCTCCATCGAGCCTGGCGTCAGTGCTCCTGGAAGAGCTCCCCTTCGCACACGGCGACCACCCGGTTTCCTGGTCTGTAGGAAGCGAGCAGCAGAGCAGCGCCGGCCCCTCCGCTTCCTGAGCGGGCCCACAGCTGCCATGTGGGGAGGGAGCCCAGGCCTGTGCTGCAGCGTGTGTGTGCAGCCCCGGCGCAGGGTGGCCAGGCAGCCTTCATGGGCCTTGGCGTGGCTGAAATCAGTGTACGCCCCAAAGGCTCCGGTAGGGGTACAGCCCGGGGAGCGCCCCCAGAGTCAGCTCATAGGCATGCGTCCAGCACCCCCCCAAGGACACCCTGCCAGTCCTGGGGGGCTCACGTGGTCTGGCTAGCACCAGGCGTGGGGCTGGCGGCTGAGGGCAGAGTGCTGCTAACCCTCGAGCATCCTCACTCTGGGCCATCTGTCGCCTGGAAGCCCTGGCCCCGGTGCTCCCGCCGCCTCCTGTGTCCCTGGGTCCTCTGCCTGCTGATCCTGGAGAGAACCGTCCGAGACGCCTGCCCGCACTCCCGGGGAAGGCAGGTCTCGGCGACAGGCTGCCCAACACACACCCTCCGTCTCCCCTCCTCTCGCCACAGCTCTAATGGTACCCAGTGACAGGCCGGCCTTCCTGTGACACGGGGACGCCAGATCTCCTGAGAAGATGTCGGCAATACAGGTACCATGGGGGCAGGGGCCCAGGGCATCCCAGCAGCCTCAGGTGCTTCGCAGAGTGGGCTTGGCTCTCCCCCCTCCCTCCCCCCCCAGGCCCTGGATGTGGGACGCCAGCACGCGGTCAGCCCCGGGCTGGGCAGTGGGGACTCAGCTGGAAGGGACCCGGCATTCTGGGGAAGGGAGCTCGCTGTCCCCCAGGGCCCGGCCCTGCCCCGGCTGCACGCCCACGTGTCGCCCGCCCCGCAGGCCGCCTGGCCGACCGGGACAGAGTGCATCGCCAAGTACAACTTCCATGGCACCGCCGAGCAGGACCTGCCCTTCTGCAAGGGGGACGTGCTCACCATTGTGGCCGTCACCAAGGTACTGGGGCTGGGCGCCCACCCCGCCTCACCGTGGGGCTGCGAGGAGGGCCTGAGAGCTGGCTGCCCTGTCCCCAGGACCCCAACTGGTACAAAGCCAAGAACAAGGTGGGCCGCGAGGGCATCATCCCGGCCAACTACGTGCAGAAGCGGGAGGGCGTGAAGGCGGGCACCAAGCTCAGCCTCATGCCGTGAGTACCCGAGGGCCAGGCCTGCAGGGGCGGGGAGAGGAGGGCCTGGGAGGGTGGAGAGAGGGGCAGCAGACGGGGGCCTTGGGTACGCATCCCAGAGGGGTCCCTTCAGAAAGCGGAGCCTGAGGACGCGTGGGAGAGGCGGGAGGGCTCTGGGCTCCACCGTGACCCGGCCGGGCTGCCCCCAGCTGGTTCCATGGCAAGATCACGCGGGAGCAGGCGGAGCGGCTGGGGGGGCCC